TCAAGTGTGTGTGCATGGATATATATACATATATATACATATATATATATGTATGAGTTCGACTGAGAGACCGGGAGAGTTCGACTGAGAGACCGGGAGTTTGATTACTTGCTATGAGGTGTGCTCACCACTAGGAGGTGGTTCAGAATGAAGGAAGGCCCCCTCTGGCAGCCGGCAGCCAGGGAAGGGAGGCCCCAGCCAGCAGCTGGAAGGAAGACCCAGGCCAGCAGCTGGAAGGCCCCAAATGGCCCTGATTGCCAGCCAGGCCTACAAACCCTACACTTGCACAAATTTCATGCACTGAGCCTCTAATTTTTATTATATTTCTCCAATATATAATTATAAGAGAATCCCCAATGCTTTATATTTTAACAGATGCCATTGTTTCTATTGCTTTAGCATGGGGCATTTTTAAAATTGGATTTGTCCCTTAAAAATATGAATGTTCAAGATGAGATAATTTTGTGTGGTGACCCTCCAAAAGACACATAACCTTTGCTTTCAGTATTAACCAATAATAATTATTTCTATATGTTAAGAGAAGTTATGAACACTGAGCGACTTTATCCATGATATAAAGATTTATCCTATGTCAATTAATAAAGTAGATAAAAATTTAGAGGTTTTTCATGAGTTTGAAAGTAGATTCAAAAATATAATGTATACTATTTATGTATTATATACTATATGTTGTACACATAATATAATATCTAAGATAATATCTACCACCTATTGAGTACTTACTATGCTATGTCTTTTTATGTCATCTCATTTAATACAATATCTTTATCTGACAGCTATTATTATTAACACTTTTTTGTTGATGTTGTAGATTAAAAGTTTAAAATCTAATTGCTTTTCAAGGTCATAAAACTAATAAATGGCCAAGACAGAAGTTGACCTCAGATCTGTTTAACCATAAGCTCATTTTCTCAAAGATTACACTAAAGATCACATGTTAGAAGCCCAAGGGCAAGATCCAGTCTGCAGATATATTTTATTTGTTCTGCACTCTATTGAAAAATTAGATTCTGGAAACATTGGTTCTTTTTCCCATGGACACAATCGGCTAAATTGTGCAATACTCACTGGCTTGCCATTTTCTTTATTAAAGAATCTGCTATATTGTTTGTTCTAGAATGAAGTTAAGAATAATATTGCTTCAACACCTGTTTCTATAAAAAATTGGGACATGAATGGTCAACCTAAAGGGCCACATGGTTTACCAGACTCGTTTAAACCGTATTACCTGCCTGGACCCTGTAAAAACTGAGTTCATTATGTCTACATTCAACTCAAGTAAAATAGTTGAAATGGATAATTATACAATTCCTTTCAGTTTAAAAATTGTATATGTATTCTAAGTGAAGCTAATTTTATGATTTTGGTTATATTTTTGAGAAAGTATTTAAAAATATTTGGGTGATTATAATGCAAACCTTCATATATCTGCCATTTCTTAATCCAGCAAAACTAATTATGAATCTCTTAAATTCAATTTTAAAAAGTGAATAATGATTACAGAAAAAATATTTAACTGTAGGAAAATAATCTAGTGCCATAACTACCACTTTTTATGGAAATAAGGGCCATTATTAGTTCTAAAATTATATTTTTATTAAACATGACATTTTATAATCACTATCCCAAATATCTCATATTTTCCATATTCTCTTTTTAAAAAATATATATTTTATTGACTTTTTACAGAGAGGAAGAGAGTTAGAAAGATTGATGAGAGAGAAACATCGATCAGCTGCCTCCTACACACACCCCACTGGGGATGTGCCTGCAACCAAGGCACATGCCCCTGCCCGGAATCGAACCTGGGACCCTTCAGTCAACAGGCCGATGCTCTATCACTGAGCCAAACCGGTTAGGGCTCCATATTCTCATCAGTGCCTTTTCCCTGTAGCTTCTCTGGGTGCTAATATATTGCATAAGATTGCTTGAAGCACCTTTCATGTATAGCATTTCTTGGTGTCTTTCCTCTAGTTTTCCAATAATTGAATTTCACAAATGCAAAGAAATCTATGGATTTTCCAAATATTAAAATTATTCCTTCTCATAAAATATTGTCCTGTTAATTGAAAAGTCTCTAGTTGTAAGCTTCATTTAAATATAGTTTTCAATTTGTAAACATTGTTGCACCTGTTAGGAGAGGCATTCTGTGCAGACTAAATACAATGCAGAGATTGTTGAAAAGGAAATGAAAAGACAGATGCTTTCTGATTAAAAGTGCAATTTATGACAGCTTGGTGGTCCAATGCACATTTCTTCTGTCACTTAACAGCTGTTTCACATAAGTTTTGTTCCAGATCAGTATATTTACTCTATAGGGCATGTCAGAGGTTCTGCCTTTTTCAGTTTATCAAAATATCAGTCCATGTACCAGCAAGCTGTATACCATAAATTCAAGCTCTGGTTCCTCACTCTGTTTAACCTCATATTGCTTGCTCTTCTGCTTGAAACATTCTATTTTAAACCCAATTTACCTCTATAATGGAGGCTTTAACATTTAAATGATAATAAGACAAAGGAGTATTATAACTTTTATATGGCATGATTTCTTGCATGATTGTTTCAATATCATTTAGTAACCCAGCAACTGAGGACAAAGTAGCATAGGCATTTTAAAACTCTTATTAATTCTTAAGTTAGATAATGTTGACTCAATTTTGATTCTTATGCAGCAGCATGTGTATGAATGTTTGTATGTTGCAAATATTTTTCTTTATTGATTAAGGTATTACATATGTGTCCTTATCCCCCTATTGCCCTCCACCCTCCCCACCCATGCCATCACCCCCCTGGTGTCTGTGTCCATTGGTTAGGCCTATATGCATGCATACAAGTTCTTTGGTTGATGTCTCCCCTTTATCCCCAGCCCCCAACCTTCCCTCTGAGGTTTGACGGTCTGATGGATGCTTCTCTGTCTCTGGATCACCAGTTTATGTTGTTCATTATATTCCACAAATGAGTGAGATCATGTGATATTTATCTTTCTCTGACTGGCTTATTTTGTTTCGCATAATGCTCTCCAGTTCCATCCATGTTGTTGCAAATGGTAAGAATTCCTTTGTTTTTTACTGCAGCAGTTCCTTTTTCTCTGCATCCTAGTCAGCACTTGTCATTTGTTGATTTGTTGATGATAGCCATTCTGACAGGTATGAGATCTAGGCCAACTTACACCATACACAAAAATAAACTCAAAATGGATAAAGGGCTTAAACGTAAGATGGGAAACCATAAAAATATTAAAGGAATCCACAGGCAGCAAAATCTCAGACATATGCTGAAGGAATATCTTCACTGATACAGCTCTTAGGGCAATGGACACTAAAGATAAACAAATGGGACTACATCAAAAAATGTATGCATGTTTTTTAAAAATAATTAATTTTCAGATATAATACAATAATGTACATGTACAGATTTTACTGCATAAAAAAAAGTTAGCATACTAGAATTAGAGATTATTCTTTTATTACTTTAGCATTTGGAGCTTGATCATTGTCATTGCTAATAGGTAATAACAGTTCAAAAGTCAGTTAAAAACTCTTGCCTTAAGGAACCAAATATATATGACTTTGCTTAATTGCACTGATATTTGGAGTATCTGATAGAATCTGCTTCATACTGATAACTATGAAGATTAATGTCAGTTAGAAATAAGAAAAATGTGCCAATGAGAACTAGGTCAGAAAAGGAATTTTTCGGCTTCTCTCTAGTTCCCTCTTTTAGTTTCCTAAAACTTATTAGGAAAAGTACTTTCAATATTAATCAAAATATTATATTATTATTTTCAGACTTCATTTAAGCCAGAGGTTCTTGAACATTTTGTTCTAAAAACCAATTTATCCTCTAAATTTATCAGATTCTAAATAAAAGAGCTCTGTTTATGTGGCTAATATGTACCAATATTTATTATATTAGGAATTAAAAATGAGAAAATATATTTATTAATTAATTCATTTAAAATGTCAATAATAAAGTTGTTATAAATTAGTACAATTTACTTTTATGACAATAAATTATATTTCCCAAGACAAGAATATGTAAATTAGAAGAGTGGCATCATTATAGGTATAATCTTTTGTTATAGGTTGTTTTGATTGAAACATATAAAGCACTATGTCTTAGTCTTTTCCGATAATGAAAAATATTTTTCTTTGATCCTACCCTGAAACTTGACAAGTATTCATTTCTTAAAGCTTGGTTTCAATGTGGAATCTGAAACCATATTCATGAGCTTTTTGTACCCTCTGCATTTGTGAATGCAGAGTGATAATGAGAGTGTGAAGGCATATAATGTCAATATTATCCTTTTATAAAAATAATTTTGATCTTAGGGACCTTTGAAGTTTTCTGGACCATACTTGCTGAAATGCTGATTTGCAGAAATGAATGACCTTGGTTAAAATAGTCCACTTCATTCTTCATAATATCTGACAAGGTGTTCAACTTTGCTCTTTTTCAAAGATTTGAACTGTGATTCTTTATTCACCTGTGTGTGTCTTTTCTGGTCACCACTGTGTATGGCCAACCCATTCATCTGACAAACAGCATGAAGTAGGAAATATAAAACTCTCATAAACTGTGATTCTACAAAGAATTCCACTTCTTAGAAGCCTTCCTTTAGAGGAGAAGGTTAAACCCCAATCAACAAATCAACAGTTACAGAGCAGCCTTGCAAAGCTTTGATTGCATGGTATAGGAAATGCCTGTCACAGAGGGAGTGCTATTAAAGTTGCAATGTGCTTCCAAGAGCCTGAGGAGTAAACACAAGAAATTGAATATGAGACAGATATTGAAAAAACAAAGAATGGAGAAACTCTTAAGACTCAAATGGATAATTCAAAAGATCATACTTCGAATTGCCTAATATTTTGAAATGGCTGCAAGGAGGACATAATTCCCGTAGCTGTTGCCCTCACTTAGAATTCTACAGAAGAACATTTATTCCAAATGCCTATCATTATTGGGTCAAAATATATAGCACATGCATTATACCTACCTCTAGTGCTATTTTCAAGGATTATCTTGTGATCATCCCTTTTATGAAGCAACTTTTTTTTATAATGAAGTTTTTGATAATTTCAGCAATAATTTACAGGTGGGTTTACTGATAGATGATGTAAATTTGGCAGCATTTAAGTTAGGGAAATAGGGTGATTCTGATGTGATTTATTCAGATATTTGTTAGAAACACATGCATTTGGTTAGCCAGCATTTATTAAGTACATGATATAACCCAGCACATATTAGAAATGTGAACCTGAGTAAAACATGCCCCCTTTCTCTCAAAGTGGTCACAGTCCAGATTGGGACTCAGACATGGAAACAATCAAATGAAAGTATAGCTGAAGTTCTCTTAACTGATTTCCACTTAACTGACCTGTGGGATTCATTGACAGTTTCATTTCTTTAAAACACAATAATCAAGGATCAAGACTCTTTGAAATTCATCAGAATAAGATCTGTCTTTGAATTTTTACATATTTGTGTTCTTGCAGGTTCAGTGATATGCTCTCTCAGAGTCAGCTATACAGGGTAGAGCAAAAGTAGATTACAGTTGTGAAGCAGTATTCTTTATTGTATTATTTTCCAAGTGAACAACTGTAAACCTACTTTCCCCATCCTGTATTCTCAGATCTATGTATGCCCTTTGTATTTGTTATTAATAACTAGGTAATTGAATTGCTTCATAAACTTATGAATAATGAGAAGAAAATAAAATTACTTATAAGAAATCTATAATGATAACACTCTAAAAGGTGCATTGCTAATAAAGAATTGATGTGTAGTGGGTCAGGCCTCTCATAAAGACTGGGAGAAATTGTAGTAATCAAGAAGCATTCTGCATTCAGTTTGCTTCACAAATATCTATAATAATTCCACTTTATATAAAAGGTGACTTGAAATTTAGAGTCTGACTAAGATAAGAAAGAAATAATAGAACTTTATTCAACAGGCCAGTGTTCAGCGAAAAGGCTTTGGTTTTACATCAAAATATTGGCCAACACACACACACATGCACTCACAGGTTTTAAATTGACATATAATAATTTACATATGTATTAGTCCTTTTTCATGATTATTTAATTGAACCAGCTTCTCAATAATTAACCAGCCAACCTGTGGGACAAATTATATTGGCTAAGAAAGCTCTTGTACAAAGTGATAGAGGCAGGGGAGTACAAATGGAAATTATATTTAGCAAATATCTTATCTACTAAAATAGTTGTCTTGTTTATGATAACCCCTTAGAGAAGCATTAGTATGCATCTTTTATGACTTGAGTTTAGAAATGTTATGTTTATGAACTAAGTGACAATATCAGTTGTCACACACAGTGACCATATATCAAGGAATTACACTAGCGTTAGGTAGAACAGCAGGTCCATTTGTTCAAATACTCACTGAACATATGAGTGATTTTCTCTAACAAGGTCCCTAGGGAACCAACTTGCATCCATCACTGCCTGCATCCTTATGGGAAGATAACTATTTTAAACTCCTGCTAAACTATGTGAAGTTTTAGGATTGATATAAACTATATGTCAGAAGCTAGAGAGAAATATACTGTTGGAACACACACCAGGGAAAATCTGATAGAAACCAGTAACTGCTGATCTAATCAGATTTTCATTTTGTTATGCTTTATATATTATCTAATCTAATAAGAGAGAAACATGCAAATTGACGGTACCTTCACTATGCCTAAACCACACCCGCCAGCCAATCAGAGTGACTATATGCAAATTAACCCAACCAAGATGGCAGCCGGCAGCCACGGAGCTGGAGCAAGCAGGCGGCTTGGGTGCCCCAGAGATGGAGGAAGCCAAGCTTCCCACCTGATCTGGCTAGCTGTGGCCTCCACTAAAGGCAACAAAGTTTCAATTATAGAAGATAAATAAATCCCAGATACCTGCTTCCAGCCAGACTCCACTGGGAGCTTGGGTGGCTGGGGTCATGGCCAGCCTGCAAACTTCCATCAAGCCCTCACCCAGGCTGGCCACACACTCAAGGGGGGAGGGTCCCTGCTTGCAAATTGACCCTAACAGCAGAATGACTGTGAATGACTGGTCACTATGACAAACACTGACCACCAGGGGGCAGATGCTCAATGCAAGAGCTGTCCCCTGGTAGTCAGTGAGGTTCCACAGGGGGAGCTCTGCTCAGCCACAAGCCAGGCTGCCAGCTGCCAGCACATTGGTGGTGGTGGGAGCCTCTCCCGCCTCTTCAGCTGTGCTAAGGGTGTCCGACTGCAGCTTAGGCCTGCTCCCTGCTGGCAAGTGGACATCCCCCAAGGGCTTCCGGGCTGCCAGAGGGATGTCTGATTGCCATCTTAGGCCCAATCCCTCCGGGAGCTGGCCTAAGCCAGCAGGTGGACATCCCCCAAGGGGTGGGGGATACGACAGGGCACAGGCCAAGCTGAGGGGCCCCCCGAGTGCACAAATTTTTGTGCACTGGGCCTCTAGTAAATATATATTTATGAAAAAGTAAAAAGCAATTAATACTTCATAGGTTACTTTTACAGAAAATTAGACACTTTGGTTTTATAAAATGTGTATATACAATTACAATTTTTAAGGTTCAAAAGGATATAAAACGTACACATCATACGTAAAACTGTTAGTATTTTTATTGAATTCATTTATTTCTTCAACAAATTACTTCCTTTTCCCCCCACAGGGTTTATATTCTAATTAAGAAGGAATCCTTTAATTGATGAACATTATGGCATCCACACCATGAATGCCCAGTAATGTAGCCTATTCCCTCCCTTTAAAGGTGGTGGGGAGCTGTGACTTGTGTCTAAACAATACAATGTGAGAAAGGTGAGGAAGGGGGTCAATTTGACTATGTTGTGTTATATAAAAATTCATGTTAACCTTTTGGAGCACAAGAGATTCTCCTTCTGGCTTTAAAAAAGGAATCTACCATGTTATGAATGAACTGGAGAAGGTGGAGTGGGCCACATGGTAGGAGACTGCAGTCCTCTTCTAGGACCTGAGAGCAGCCTCCAGCCATAGGTAGGACTGTGGTCAGCAAACAGAGGCTCGTGAGCCACATGCTGCTCTTTGGCCCCTTCAGTGTGGCTCTTCCACAAGATACCACATGCGGGTGTACATGTACAGTGCGATTGAAACTTTGGGCCCATGCGCAGAAGTTGGTATTTTGTGAAGAGCCGGTATTTTGTGGAAGAGCCACACTCAAGGGGCCAAAAAGCCACATGTGGCTCGCCAGCCACGATTTGCTGAGCCACAGTTTTCTGACCACTGGGCTAGGAGAACCTGGGAATCAGAGGACCCAGGGAAACTTGTGAGAGCAAATGCATGTTTGTTAAGCTATTGACTTCGTAGTAGTTTGTTATTCTGCACACAAAAACTCCTGCAATGTGCATTGGTTTAGCGAGGATTAATATTAGTATGTTGGTTTGAGTGCCTTAGGGTGGTATTAATGTTCTGCCATTTTGGCTATAAAGCTTGGACTAAATATTTGATGGCAGTCTATGAGGTTGAGATGTCAGGACTTTTGTGTGTGGTGATGGCCAGAGGGAAAGGAGGGTGGGGGCTGGGTGAAGGTGGGCGAAGGGGGAAAATGCGGACATAGGGCTTTAGTTTATATGAACTATTACATGTGACTGACAATTAAAGCAAACATAAATATGTTTATTTTTATCCTTCTCCAAACTTATTTTATTTAAACATTTAATTATACACACGAGGTTTTTAAAATAGGGGAATACATTTGAAATAATCTTTGGTGTGTATGGAAGCAAATGTATATAATAATAAATATCCTAATTAGCAGTTCAATTGATTGTTTTCTCATATATATTTAAATTAAGTTTTCCCCCTCAAAATCTGTCCTTTGAACACTCATAATAGCCATGTAAATACTGTTAGATGTACAACATTACAAATTTTACCAGTTTTTATACACACAGGAAAAGTTTGAAATATATTCATACTTATCACTGATTGCATACAAATCATCTAATACATCTTGAATTCTTCCTTGCTTTGAAAATAAAGAAATGGTAAATTACAATAATTATATAGTAACTACTTTTCTTATATTTAAATGCTAAGTTCTGAATCAATGACAAGGCCTCAAATTGGGTAGTTCACATAAATATGCAGAAGTATGGAATGAAAGTCTGCAGCATAATTGCTGGTAGTTAAATAGTGAGTAATTTCTGCATATTCAAACAAGTCCATTAATATGACATATAAATTCATGAACATTTATGAGCAATTAATACTTTGTAAGTTAGTGGAACAGGATATCATATGTTATCTTCCCTAAGGATGAGCCATCTACATGCTCTGACCAAGTTAACGACTCCATTCTTCATACCTTTGATTTTTCTAATGAATATAATTTTTATATTTTTATATCACAGATGAACTTAATGTCCATAAATTGAAATATTATTTTGTTTGAAACTACAGGCAGTTGTTCATCAAGATTTAGTGCATCTCTATTACCCATCAGACTCAGATAAACCATGAGTTTCCCTACTAATAATTTTTATCACCAGGGAAAAATAGTAATCAGATTCTCAAGATAAATAATAATGTTTTTATTTAAAACTACCAATTCAAATAATTTATACTCTGATTTCGAGCAATAACAAAGCAAAATATGGGGGGGGGAAGCTTTGTTTTTGCATCAGCTCACTGCATCAGTTCTTGGAGAAAATTTTAAACAAAAATATTATTATTAAATTCAGAATCAAATGTACCTTACTTAAAAACCCTTAATTTTGCCCTAACTGGTTTGGCTCAGTGGATGGAGTGTCAGCCTGCGGACTGAAGGGTCCTGAGTTTGGTTCTGGTCAAGGGCATGTACCTTGGTTACGGGCACATCCCCAGTGGGGCTGCAGGAGGCAGCTGATCGGTGTTTCTCTCTCATTGATGTTTCTGACTATCCCTCTCCCTTCGTCTCTGTGAAAAATCAATGAAATATATTTTTAAAAAAACCCTTAATTTTCATGGGAATTTCCATGAAATGTCATAGTCTTTTTAAAAAATGTTTCTATTTTGAGAGAGAGAGAGAGAGAGAGAGAGAGAGAGAGAGAGAGAGAAACATCGAT